ATATATATATATATATATATATATATATATATATATATATATATATACACACATACGCATACACACAACTTTTGAAGCTCAACGCAATTAAGTTTATTTAGGTCTAAAATGAAAAAGGGTCACTAGTAAATTAAATGTTGATGTCGTTTTTGCTTGTTGTAGAGCTAAAAATGATAATTATACACGACGTGGGAGTTTTTTGGTCAAAACTGCTTCAAAGATTAGCAGGAATATCAATATGGTAAAATACCTAAAGCAACAATTGCTTCGTGAGTGTTATTTGCACATTTTAGTAACTTATTTGGCACAATGAAGACTTATAGTAGGTAATGTTTTAATATAACCATAAAAATGTTTAATATACCATAACATATAAATAAATTGTTAGCGAAACCCACTCGGTTTTGCTAACAGTTAACACGTTTATGTGAATTATTTTGACAACAATAAACGTCACCTGCTCTAAACTATTTTTTCTACAGTTGCGATATTGAGTTCGTTAATTACAGAAAACATTTTAACAAACCTTACGGTTTGAGTTGTCCTCCTCTACCGCATCCTTTCCGAGGCAACTTGTAACTTTCTCCGGTCAGATGTGACTCAGAGGAGCCAACAGACATCTGTTTCAGACGACTCCATTTACTCAACGAGGGGAGGACTATTTTCTTAAATCATTAAAATACTTATGAGCATTACATTACTCTGTATTTACTGATACAATTTTTTATATTTATCGGTATACTCATGCTTTCTTGAATCAATATTTTACTATATGAATAATTTGGACAACTTCATGTGTTTTCTGCTAGAAATTACACCCCTCGGGTTGTAAAAATGGTTTAGTCCGACCCCGCTAACTTTTCAGGCACGCTCACACAGCACGCGCCTGGCTGTGGGAGGGGGGCTTTTAATTTGAAAAGATGCACAAAAGAAGAGGGGGTGCTTCAGAGGCAAAGGCGAGAAAAAATAAAAAAAAAACGAAAATAAAATTATAAATAAATAAATTAT